CTCATGGGCGTTGTTGCCCAGGAAGGTACCAAACTGGGAGGCATAGGCGTGCTCGAAGAGCAGGACCAGGAAATGCTCGTTGAACTGAAAGGAGCAGGGGAACTGGCGCAGAATCTGCCACACACAGTCGAGGAAGAGCAGGAAGATGGGAGCCTCCCAGCGTAGCTTGCTGTTGGAGTAGGCCGACTGGGCACAGCGCTGCTGGAATGGGTGACCAGCCTTGGGGCAAAGAAAACAATTTTCTGGAAGTCACCATGAAATCTTCAGCTGCACATGACCTGTGTGTGACTGAATGAAACAGTGTTATTTTCATTTCGCCCGATTTCAAAATGAAAGCTGCAACTATGAAGAACAGTTTTGCGGTGGAGCAATAAAAGTTTGAGAGGTCAACCTGACAGGGATGCGTTTTATATTGACACACTAGAACACAGAACACAGATCTGCTACCGCGGTGGAAAAAATGCCTCCTCTCCTAAACGGAGAGTGTTTTGGAATCCCTTCTGATGAAGAGATTCATTGCTGTAATATAGCTCTTGTCTTGGAAACGGTGCATTTGTTTCAGTTCGGTTTTATGATCTGACCTGCAGCCACTCCCTCTCGACGAGAGACCCGAAGCCCCGGATGGTCCTGCAGCCAGGGTCAAGGATGATCTGAGAGAGAGAGGTCACCTGCAGCGTGGAGTCTGTCCCTTCTGTGCCGTGGACCAGCACTGAGGCCCCTTCCCTGAGAGACACAACCACATCCCCTTACAAGTGCACTGCCATGGTCTTTTCATGCCCAGATCTCCCAGCCAGTGGAGACACCCTTAAGCACGTCTACATCACCCTGTCAAAAATATTCAATTTCTCCAAAAAGGGGCCGACAGCAAGAGAGAGAGAGAGAGAGAGAGAGAGAGAGATCTGTGATCCCAGGTGAGACTACCCAGCTCTTTTATAGTATGCGAGACAGATGTCCGGAGGAAGCACAAACCACACTGTGCAAAAGGATTCCAGTCACAAAAAAGCCCTGTGAGGGGTGAAGGTGGGGAATCGGTGAGCCCAGAGGAGGTTGAGCAATAATGATGGTGAAATTGAGAAAAGCGGAAAATTGAGAGTAAGGACAAGTATTAACTGAAGCCTTCAAATAAGAATTTAAGTAAGCCGTTTTTGTTACTAGTCAATGACAGCTAAATTAATGGAACGGGTCAGTCTGGTTGAGTGCCGCTACAAAACTTAAAAGCAATCATTCCTGAATGCTAAGAAAATAAAATCTTTGTCTGTGATTTTTCATTTGTCTGTGATTATACAGGGCTGGCTATGAAGTGGTTAGAGCTGAAACAGTTTAGTTTAACTTCTGTTTTCCAGTTTTATCACATAAACCTTGTGTTTACCAATTATAAGATAGAAGCAAATACATACGGTATCCACCAGGGCAGGTCAAGCTAGCATTAGGAGACAAGTTTATAAGGAATTAAAAGCTCAAAAAAACAATGCATTTTCACATTAGACATACTGTACGAGCTTGTCTGTCCTATACAGAAGAGCCACAGGTTTCGTTCTGCTCTGATGTTGCCGCCCAGTCTGATACTTGACACTCTCCAGCTGAACATGGTCGATTACATCCCCCGGGGCTGTTGCCCTCCGAGTTCACAAAGGCATCTATTCTACTGGGAGATGAGCTTTCACTTTTGTGGTCACCCGGGACCTGACTGATAACGCGTGTAGGCGACGGCGAACAGAGAGGTCGCCGCCGAGAGTCTTGCCTGTCAATGCACTGCGCGGCAAGGCAGGCAGTGGTGAGGATCTCCTTGACGTGCGTCAGCCAGTTGGAAGCCTCCAGCTTGCTGAGCCAGCGGTCCATGTTGTGGGACTGATCATTGCAAGCTTCCACCAGCTTGATCAGGCTCTCCTGCAGAATATTAGACCTGAAAGGGTGAAAAGAAAACGGAGAACCACAAAGATGTATTCACCAAATATTAAGCCAACGATTATTAGAGGCCATTATCCAAAGCGACTTAAGTCTGTACACATTTACCAAGCTGGGCATCTCGTGTGGAGAAAGAGCAGTGCCCCTCCCAGCATACAAAACCACAACCTTCTGTTAAATCGGCAAGAAAGTGTCAACCACACCTGGAGACAGGCCAGTTTTTTACACTGGAAAACAACACTTGCATGTAGTGACATTATATAGGGCATTTACTTTTTCATGGCATCCTACAATGTTTATTGACCAGAACCACACACTCTCCAGCCACACAAGTACATTTACAGTATGTGCTAAGAAATTGTACACTGGAATTTATTCAAAAACATTCTATTCTACTCTTAACTTCTCAGAGGTTACAAATAGGTTTGTAGCTACTAGGTATGTGCAGGAAGACTATCCTTGACATCTCAACAGTCATGCACAGAAATGCAAACACCAGTTAAAGAGAAAAAAAACAACAAATCGCAATACTATAGAAAGCTCTCTGTTGCGCAAGAACAAGTTGGGAACAAATCATTTTCATTTTCCATTTCCCCCCCCCATCCAGAAGTCTGAGGATTTACCTCTCAATAGCCTTATGGATTCTCCTCCACTGTGGGTAATGTGCCTCCTGCTCAAATCCGCCCCCCCTGGCTTTGGCCTGCTGTGCCACGTTGATGGTGCGGGTGTCGATGATGTAGCCACGCTTGCCAGCGCGCAGAGTGGCATTGATCAGCTTCTCGTCCTCCTTGCAGCGCCGCCCGTTGGTGCCCGTCAGGGGCTGCCCAGCCCGCATCATCACCTGAGAGAAGCAGGACACTTTGAACCTGGTCTCTGTGGGGCAACTACACTGAACTGAAAGCAGCAGACTAACTGGGGTGATCCTCTGGGTAAGATGCAGACCCCCACAGACCCATTTCTTATTTACTATTCCTAATTAAGATTTTAGAACGTGTGGTTGCACATCAATCACGGGCTTTCATGGCAGCAAATGATTTGTCAGATCGTACGAATACGTGGTCTTTGGCTTCACTGCCATGCAGATGATATTCAGATCTACGTTAAGACCTCTTCCTCCTCCGATTCATTGCCTCCATCACTTCTCATTGAAGACAAAAGTGACAAAACAGAAATATTATCGGTGGGCATGACAGCTGGAAAAGCTGGAGAGCTTCACAGTAATGGTGGTCGGCTTCTCCATTCAGGTGTCAGGCCTATTCCGGAATTTGGGAGTCATATTTCGATCCTTTCCCGTCTTCTGAACTCCATGTGAAAAAACTTGATCAAGATTTTTTATTTTTTCCCCCCCAACTTAGAAATATTGCTTATATTAGCTCATTTCTGTCAATGTCCAATAGTGAGTGCCTGATTCATGCACTTATAAAATGAAGGGCTTTCTGTAACTTTTTGCTCTACGGACTCCCTAAAACTCTCTTTAGGGAAACTGCAATACATCCACATCTCTGCAGCTAGGCTTCTAACTCACATTAGACATTGATGGCATATCATCCCTACTCTCAAATCTCTTCATTTTCCTTAAAGTCATGTATTCAATATAAAGTGATTTATGAGGGTCTGAACAATTTGGCTCTTTCATATATCTCAGACCTCCTTGATGTATACTCTCCTTCCCAAAGGTTTCATTCAGGTGAGGCTGGTCCATTGCTCATTTTATATGGGATTAAATGGTGGACTAACTTCTGCCGTTGCTACATTTTCATGGAACGCCCTTTTTGCGTCTCCTCGCGAGGCAGATTCCTTGACATGTTTTTAAGACACATCTTTGTACTTGGGCCCATGTCTGATTGTGTTACGGTTTGTCTTGTATGTCCTTGTTCTATTTAAATTATCCTATTTTATTATGCAAAGGAACAAGTAATGGGTTTATTCCATGCTGAAAAAAAGAAGAAAGAAAACAACATTTCTGCCATGGAGCCTTCTTCAGGTGTGAGCACAGGTGTGAGTACATAACTTATTATGTACAGTAGATACACTCTGGATGATAAAAGTCTATCTTCAATACTTGAACAAACACAAAGACAGCAGTCCTCACCATGCCATTCTTCTTATGGTAATAACTGAGCACAGGGAAGCGCCCTGCATGCCTGAAGGTGGCAACTTTTCGCAGTGTCTCGTCATCGATAGACTTGGGCACAGTGACCAGGGGAGGGTAGGAGGGACAGACCGTGAAGTCCTTGTTCACTGTACTCAGCCGCCACTCTTCTGTCTGAGGGAATAACAATAAAAAAAAAAAATCAGCCTTAACCACCTTTCGCCCAGTTCTTATTGAGAGCAGGACAGGAGAATCCCCCAACAAACTTCTCCACTATAATACTGTCACTTTATTAGTCCACCAAACATCGAATTGTTGGAGAGGAGTTTAAAAATTCAAAAAGTAAAACTTAAACATTTTGGTTGATTAAATAGACTGTCCTGCTGATTTGTTTTTTAAATTGATAAAGGACAGAAACCTACCAAAGATTCGATCTGCTTAAAGGCTTGCTCAGGACTGAAAGTGTTCCACCCATCCTCAATCACTTCAAACATGGGCCGGTAGAAGAAAGGGTACATCAGCGAGACCGAATCCAGAGTGGACAGAGTCTGGGTAAATCACAAATAAACCCATCTGTAAGCAGACGCATGCAGAAACAATGGCTACTAACACATCAATTCCGTATCACTTCTGTTTTCACAAAATGAAGCCCCCAGCAGCTTCTCTTAAAGAAAAGGAAAAAGGAAATTGCAAAGATGAAAATAAATGTAAGAGGGTAACAATTTTGATGTTCCTACATTTAAAACTGAGAACAGGAGGCACTTTTTCATTCAAAGGGCTGAGAGTGTGCAGAACAAGCTACCCTTCCATGCTGTTGAAGCCCATACCCTGGCTTGGAGAAGGATGAGATTCTCATATCAAACTAATAGCAACCCATTGTGCTAGATAGGTTGCAAATGAGAGGAGGACACCTTGCTCATCTTGAGTTCTCATTTTCTTATTATTTGTATTAATATTTTAGCCAGAATCTGCCAATATTGCACCTAAAATCCCCACTATCAAATAAGCATTTAAATATTAAAATATTAAAACCAAGGCAACCAGCACCTACATTTGCAAGCTACATTTTTACCTTTTGGCAGACGACACATCACACAAGTCTATCTCATGTACACTACATGGTCTATAATTCTGATAACACCCCCACAATCACTACTCCCCTTTAATGGGGGGGGAAAGTGGGCTCCTGGGTTTCCCAAAGGTCGGTCAGTCCTTCCCTTTTCCTCCAGGGTATCAGTGCCCGGAGCAGTGAGATTACAGCAAGCTCTAGTGATGCTGTTTTAGGGCAATATACTGTACTGCACACATTCCTCCCTGCACCTGTTCGATCCCACTCCAGCCTGACACCTCCTGTCCCAGTGATTGTGGCATGCACACAACCACCCAATAGGGCATACCACCTCACTCTTTAAAACAGAGATGCAGTTAAAAGTTCAAACCAGACCGTAATGAAGCATTCTGATCAAAGCAATTTCAATGCATGTAATGGAAACCATTTAGAACACATTGGTCGTATTCTGAAATTTGAACAAAATGTACCAGAAACTTCATTTATCATTATAGATGCTTTGATAAGCTTAACACAAAAACTAAAAAATAAAGAATGTGAAGGTCAGGTTATGAGAACAGATTTGATGAAAACATTTGTTATTAAAACATCAGAGGATACAGGAAATCCACAGGAAGGAATACGAGAATTAGGACTGCAATACACACTAATACCCATTAATACAAGATGTGAAATTTAAAAACATTTTCAAGCTCCCAGTGGATCATCTGGTATCCTGGTTAAGCAAAATAAAAGGGTTTTCACTGGTTGCTATGAAAATCCTTAATATTTAAAAAACAAAAATATAAATATTTTGCCTTACTTCAATAGAACTGGCGATGTTTAAGCACTCCTCCATACCAGGGATATCGAGCTGTATAATCCGCAAGTCTTTACATTTTACAATGATTGTGCCTAATGAACCCACAAACCTGCAACATTAAAAATAACTGCATATTAATACCCAACTTACATAAATAATGTGTAAAATAATGTGAACCAGGTTAGTTATGTCAATGCAGGGAAGAGATTATGAAGGTGAAAAACAAAACTTGAATTCTGTCTCAGTATCAAAACGTTAGCAAAGCTGTGTACAACAATTTCCCCACTTTAACAATCTACAGTATATAGGGTTTAGAACCACTTTAGACAGGATGCAAACTGGACTCCTGCTATACAGAAGTTTCACCCATTTTAAGTTTCCCAAATTATCACACTTTAGAAAATGCACAAAAACTACAGAACTATTTGAGAAAAAACCTTAGGAAATGCAGAATTATTTAACATCCTGATTAGAATTACCGAGTATTGATAAGCTCCGTTCATTTTAATTTCTTGTGACCTAATGCATCAATTACAACTACAGTATAAGGGTACATGCAGACAAAGCCTTGTGCAGCTTTCTGAAAATCAATCTCTTCAGCTGCGATACCTCACAAAACAATGAGCATTCATTGTCCAAATACTAAGGTCCTCAAAATTGACAGCTTTGGTAAGTCAGGTCCTCTCTGTTTTTACTAAATTCTAAAAAAACTGAACAATCCTATATAAACAATACACAAATAAAAGTATTAATCAGTGTTCAGGGTGTACAGGCATGCTGCACTGACAGCAAGAGAAATGTAAAGGACTAGTGAAAATCACAGATGGTGAAACTTGCACAACTGACATCCCTCCTCACAGCAACAAACCAACAGACTGCACACGCGAAAGGAAGAATGTAGGTGGACTCCATTGACCCATCCACTTTAGAGTGACTCATCTTTTAACACGTCACAGGCAACACAGTCCTGGAGCTGTGGTTCAGCACAGACTGGACAAGAGGTACCATCACCACCACATGCTAGTAAGCGCTTGAGAGACAGCAGGAGCCACTGTGCCCCTCTACCCATCATTCCCACTCTACCCATGACAGCACTGGGCTAACTTTGCAATCTGCTAAGTGACCACACGTCCCAGGTCATTTAGTGACAGATTGGACTCAAATTTCCCCTACACTCAACTCGAGGGAGTGCCTTTAATACTCAAGTCATGCTTTAAGCCAAATCTATTCAGAAGATGATTAATTCAGACATGTCAGCTAGGTTAAAAAGCATCAACTGAATAGCAGGTGTATGCTTGTAGCCCGAGGTGGACTGATGTGTTGATTGATGTGCGACTCCATCAAGATAGTGAAAATCCCAAATACCTACTGGTAAAGAAACACGTTGCACATGGGCTAACATAAAGCATACAGTATAGTTCTGGACAGCTGAAACATAGACCCAGATTGTTCAATACACATCTGGTGAAAGTAGGGCGAGGGTGCACCTCTGCTCTGCCTGTGCAGGGATTCGATCACAGTTGCCCAGGGACCTGGAGCATACACAGAACCACTCCCTAGACAGGGAGAAACCCCGCGACACCAAAAGACAGGGTCTTCTTTCACAGAAGAATTCAATACTAACCAGGTTTCGAGGAGATAACACCACTTCTGTAACATGCACAGGACCACCGAGTCCTGTTACATTAGCAAAGGCTATCGAACAAACTATGTAACGAGTATGTGGACATGAAAGATATAAATCTTTCTATGTTCGACGAGCAGGCATGTGCTGCGTATTTCCACCAACACATCTCTTGTATTCACATTTCTGCAGGCCAAAAATACACACATTTGAACTAAGAATTGCTCAAAATGCACTCTTTTGACTTTAAATGAATAAAAATACACAGATACTAGGTGTTCTCATAAAAACATGAACATCCCTTCCAGAAGGGAACAGCAAAAGAAACTTTTACAAGAAAACAAGTTTCCCAATAATCCAGCTAATGCCATGCAAGCTTGAGAACTAGGAGGACATAACTATAGGATGATTAATTTTTGTATAATGGGTATTCTTGAAAAATCCCTTTTCTTAAATCTCATTCCGGATTCTTTTCTGCGATTTTAGTTTTAGCACTGCTAAATTCTCTTCTCCATAACCAGAAGTCACCGATATCACTGACGCCCTTGCAGCCAAAACCTTTGTGTGACCAGTCGCAGGCCTGACTGGGTTTGCCTGAAGGGAGGATATCTGGGACCTGGGCTGTTTAGGCCAGCGCCCCAGCGACGGAGGAACAGACTCGGCGAGCGCCGCAGGCCGAACTAACCGCTTTTCAATGGAGTCGATGTTGGAGTGCAGCAGCCACAGCTCCTCGGTGTTGTCCTGCCGGGAGGAGAGGATGAGGTGGTGCCCAGTGAGACAGAGCGTGCCCTCCACCTTGGGCATGAAGGGACGGTGCAGGACCACATTGTCCACCCGGGGGGTCTTGATGAGCTCCACAAACTCCATTGTCCAGGGGTGGAAGACGGCGCTCAAAAATGTATGCAAGGTTCTGCTTGCATGAAGGCTTCGACAAGACTGTTCAAACAACATGGAAAAAAAAATGTAAGGCACAGTGACAAGACAGAATGGACAGACACCTTTATACGTTTTGGGGCAGTGCGGTGGCTCTGTGGCTAAAGGATCTGCACCTGTGGCTGGGAGGTTGCCGGTTCATATCCCATCGCCGGCAGAGGAATCCTACTCCGTTGGGCCCCTGAGCAAGGCCCTTAACCCCAACTGCTCCAGGGGTGCCGTATAAATGGCTGACCCTCAGCTCTGATCCCAAGCTTCTCTCCCCCTATCTGTGTCTCATGGAGAGCAAGCTGGGGTATGCGAAAGGACAAATTCCTAATAAAAGAAATTGTATGTGGCCAATAAAGTGATCTTATAAGTTTATGTTGACATTTTTTCTCTTGAAATGTAAAGAGATGCAGGCGGCACAGTGGTTAGCAATGCTGTCTCGCAGCAGTAAGGCCCTGGGTCCTATTTCTTTAGTGTTATCTACTGTCCGTTCTGCCCACATTCCCACGGGTTTCCTCCCACAGTCCAAAGAAATACTGGTAGGTAGTTTCCTTCTGGGAAAGACTGGCCCTGGTGTGCGTGTGTGCGTGCATGCTTGTGTCTGTGTGTGCCCTGTGATGGACAGGTGTCCCGACCAGGGAGCATCCTTCTTTGCACCTGCTGCTCCCTGGGATAGGCTCCAGCTCGCCCGTGACCCTGTATTGGACAAAGCTGTGAGAAAATGAACAGACAGATGCAAAGATGCGCGATGAGGACGAAGAGTTAGCAAGAGAGACTGGAGTCAAAAAACATACATGATTTCTGACACAGAAAAAAGAACTGAAAAACAGGATCTTAAAACACTCAGGACCGTCCTACCCATTGCAACATACAGGGAGCAACAACACTCCTTGCAGCCATAATTAAACTAAGTCTCATACTGTACTATGATGTCAGACAATTTAGAGTCACTTACTGTCTCACTGCTGCAACAGAACTGAAAAGCAGAAGATGGCTGACCACCGAAAAACCTTCATCTCACTTCCCAAGTTATAGAAGTGGCATTTCAAGTTCAGCAAAGGATCACCAGCATACAATTCACCATTAAACATATCAGGAACACCTGCATAGAATCTTAGCTTCAGTTATTTAATGCTAAAAAAAGCGGACTGAAAAGTAAAGACAGTTATCATTGCTTTAAATCTTGCTAGTTTTAGACATTCATGAACATCTCTCTTTTTGCGTACAAAATCAGTTTCTTATTATCCTTTTTTCCCCCCCAAATGGGCAAAATGGAAATCAGCCTAGAAACACTTAGACAGGACTTGACAATCTTTTTTAACTTATGTTTAAATTTTCCATCTCGAAGGATCCCACAGGACTTCAGATACAGGAGACACAGGTCACCCACCGCTGCAGAGCTTCGCTCATGAAGGTGACAAGGGACAAGCATTCGACACGAGCAGCCCCAGCGGAGAAGTGAGAAACAGCTTTAGCAACCAAACTGAGGGGAAATGAGGCAGGCCTGACTGTACAAAGAGTAGAACTCAGCCAGAAGCTGAGGTTAACACCACTGGTGCTACAGAGTGTAAATGACCAAGCAGCCAAAACATTGGTTTACAATCTCTTCCAAAGGAAAACACCTCTGACAGCAAGACGTGGTCTGGTCTCATACGGGTATTGGTTTTAAGAAATCAGCCCACGCATTTCCTTTTATAACTACACTCTCCATATCTAAACATGACTTAAGCTTTTTTTTTCTAATACAGGAGCATGAGTTTTGTTAAACATCTCTAGATTGCAGAGTTTAAAGCTTGTTATACATGTACCTTATCGACAAATAAAATTATATTTTATTGTAAAATTACAGTACTTCTATCACACCCCTGTATCTCTCTGCTTTCAGCTGGTCTCACCATATACTGTACACAAACACCACAGTAACGTGGCCTTGAAAAACTGGGGTGATGGAATTATTGGATTCCCACAGCAAAAGATGGTAGCGTGGTTTCTTTCAAGAAATGTTTTGAGGGCCTTGGTTCAATGATCAGAACGGCTTCCGTTAGTTTGCATTTATAATACTCAGAACACGAACAATAGCATCATGACTTTCTTCAAGTTAAATATTTTGAACAGGAGAGATTTCATTTATTTAACTACCCATACAGAAATTCCCTTCTCTTCCAATTAATCGAGTACAAAACATTCATGTTTACAGATAAAGTCTAGGTCGTTAGTGTCGTGAGAGAAACGTCTGGACAAGATCCTAGGCTCCATCAGCTACTACAAACCATACGAGCATTTTGTTTGTAGGCATTTAAAGGTGTTTTTTAGATTTAAGGATTTTGATTTTTTGTTGTAATAAGAAGCGTTTGGGAGAAAAAAGCATTTATTTAGAGCAAATTAGTAATTCTGGGTAAAGCTAACTTTTATAAATGAAAATGGTCCAATAATACTTTCTCTTTTAGTCTTTTATTTTAGTATTGGAGTTGAAACATTTATTTTAAATTTTGTGAAAATGTGAAAAATGCAAAAGCAAGTTAACATTTGTTATATGTAAAACATAATTTGGCTATATAATTTACTTATCTCTGGCAGTTCGTCTTTTTTCTCTTGTATTGGTTTCTGCTCCTCTAGTTGTATTTGTATTTGTGAATTCTTTATACATTTAATTAAAAAAACCATACAAGCAGGATAGGCCGATCAGAACAGGCTCTTTTCGCTTGTAACCCTTCTTGGGCTCTAATGCTGAACATTCAGGTTCGTCCCAGATCGTACAGCCTCAGACATACAGGTGTATGGAATCGTGAATCGTTATTTAATTAAAATTAAAACTAATTGAGCGCTCGATAAAACGATTTGGGTTTCAATAAATTGAGAAAGGGTGTCATTCACAACAGGTATAACACTTGGCGAGCTGAATGAATCAGATGTAATAAAACCCTGTAGCTGAATACTGACTTCAGTGTAATATCTCATATACTGTAGCACATAGACTTTTGCTGCGCGACCCATGACAATTTTCCAGTCCATTTCAAGCTGAATACTCAATAAAGACGTGACATACATGGGGAGAAACGTGTATATATATCTAACTAGATTTTTTTTTCATTTAAAATAGCATCCCTTGAAGCACATTTTCCAATAAACTTCAGTGTCACCAATATATAAATCAATGTTTATTCATTCCGTTTATGTAAGGCACCTTATCCTTGAATGACCGACTCATAATTATTACGACAGGCCCACCCTAGATATGTTTGAATTCTTAACAATACCAGCACAGAATTAACTCTGAGTACATCCTAAAACCTATCGTAGTTTTAGGCTTCCGAGACTGAATGTTTCCCCTAGTCATGCACAGGAAAACAACGCACCGAACGCATTGTAAAACAAGAAATAACCATGATGCCGATTCTTCTACAAGAAAACAAAATTAAATAACCTCTTAAGGCCGAAAGCCATAATACATAGCACGAACACCACTGCTGTCCCACTCCTGCTAAATATTACCTGTTACTCCTCGTTTGTCTTGCTCCCTTCAAGTACGAAAATGCCGCATCCAAATTTCCAGAAACCCTTAAACACACTGGTGTAAACAGAACCCTGTCCGTCTCTAACAGCAGCACACAGCTGGTGGAGCGGATATTATCTAGCTCGGCTCCGCCTATCCTTCCGTTTGCGCTGTCAGATTCAATGAAGTTCCGGTGGTTTTCTTTCATTGAATGTAATGGAAAAACTGCGTTTTGTTTCAAAATAAATATTTGCTTTGAAATAAAAAATTAAACAGGATTTCTCAGTGTTTCTTGAAGAAAATCCCTCTTTAATCCGCATATTTGATTTATGCCACGGCCTATGTTTTCACCTGACCCAACAAGGTAATTTTGTCAAAGCGCGAACAAGCAAAATAAACAAAAAGCAAGCAATGTACCTTTACAAACGCAAACGTCTTAAAATTAATAGAGGTCTGAGGGAATAGCATTTTCAGTGTTTCTCGGCATTTCTTTCATTTATTTAGTATGATAATATTTTTTAACCAAAGATATTCTGGTTTAATCACCATAAATACTAAAGTGTCTAGGTAAGTTTTAACGAATCTATTTGTAACAGCTACACAGCATATTGGGAGTTATCACATTTTCAAAAGGATTTTCATAAAGTTCTTCAAAAGAAATATGTGTGTTTTGATTGAGAATTGGTTTCCATACCAATTCAGTTCTTAAACTAAATCAGCTAGTTAGCTAGTTAGACCAATTTAACAAGTTTCTCCAAGCTCTTCAGGTGCTACTGTTTTAAACAAATCAAGAATACTTGCGGAACCACCATCACTGTAGAACAAGGATTGTATATTCCCATATTCACCTAAATCATTACAATAAAGGATACAGGTATCCCTGTTAATTTCTGTGCCATGTGTTTTAGGCAAAGTACTGTAACAGGGCAGTAGGTCTGGTAAAATTGAGAATTTTGTCTGAACCACATTCATTTGAAGGCTGTGGGGAATGAGCTGCTGCCTCAGGCACCTGACCTCTTGGGAGAAGATTGGTCAGATAAGAGCTTATAAACTAGAATGCACTGAATCTATTATCTGGAGTGCAGAGTTTAGTATTTCTGTGGAAAAAGGTCACCAGAAGGAAGGGAGAAGGAACTTGGGAGTTTGAAGAATTTCGGAAGTGCTTTTTGTGAGGAGTGCCATCGAGAGACTGGAATTCTTTCAGATGAAGTTTAAAAGTTATTTTTGAAGCAGGTAAGTAGCTTAGCTACCTGATTGTGACAGAGAGGGACTTGACATTGAGTGGCTCATAAAGTAACTAGGCTTTTTTTTTTCATTCTGTTTTCCTCACACTTTAAGTAAAAGAGCAATTGATTTGTACCATGTGGCTACAGTTCTTCTGGTTTTCCTGGGCCTGCCTATTTTAAAGATTTCCCCATTACGACACACCCAATCCTGGGTGTCTCACTACCTTTTAAATTCCGTTTACAGGAGACAAAAGTCCATTACCCTTTTTTTAATAATAAAACACCAATGACTTCCTGCTGTCACGGACGTCCAAAGGGACTAACCGTGGGGAGCAGGAGAGCGGTAAAAGACCCATATGCGTAGCCTATGCGAGACGGGAAAAAGGCCCGGGCTCATTGTGCAAAGAGTTCAGGAATGCCGTATAGAAACCTATGCCCTCAGGGAGCGGACGTGGGGCGCCCTGGTGCTAGGCGGGTCTCAGGACATCCGAACATCAATGCTGAGCCAGGACAGAGTGCAAGACCCGGAAATATATAGCCCAAGGGAAAGAGAGGGACAGGAAGGACAGCAGACCGGCAACTAGGGACAGGACAGAGAAGGAGCGCCCTCTGGCTGCAGAGGGCGTGACACCTGCTGGCAGGTTTAGGCTAGGATGCTCAGATGTTGAGAACACCTACAATAACCCAACCAGACTGCTTTCTGTAGAGTTGTGCATATAGCTCAATGAACCCAAGTCTTTACTGATTAAGGATTCATCAGAACACTGCGAATGTTGCACAGATACACAGGCCAGTCGCTGGGGAAGTCCAAGTGTGATCTGGGTAGGAGTGTCTAGTTACAGTACTACAGACGCTCCACTTCTAATGATGGGTTGTAACTTGACTGCTTGGTGCTGCAATTATCAGTTCCAGAGACCTCTCTTCCTACTCCTGTGGGGTCATCCGGATGTGGCCACACTCTATCATTACAATGCATGTCCTCCTGCTGCTCATATACAGTAATTACAGCTTTCTTGCATGATGAGACTGTGACAGTTTCCCCCACTCCACAGATTTGACTCCCATTAACTTTTGTGAGAAGGAAAGGTACCACATGTGTACAGTATCTAGGTTTCAGTGACTAGTGAGTAGGGACATGTCTGTTGTCCAGGTTCTACAGGACCGAATCCACAAAGAACACAGATGCAACCTGGTGCAAAGCATGTGTCTCAGGTGTACAGCTGGAATTGCTTCCAAAGGTGGTCATAGACCCTGTTCGTGAGTGGGTTTCACAGTAGAACTGTTGATGACCGTTAATCAGCATATAGGCTTTAACTGTGGTGTCTGTTTCATATTGTATGATATTTCCAGCAATGGCTGTAAATTTTGCAGTGTCTATCTTTAAATCCTGAATTTAGTTATTGGAATTCTTTAAATTGATTTTAACCAACATTGTAAGAAACGTAGATCATACCTTTGTAGTATGAAAACACTTTTCCCGGTAATTGCAATTATACTACAAAAAAAAGACTGGATAAAACTCTTGGTTTAGGATACTGTTTGTTTTATTCACAAGTCTAGTATTCAGGTTTACAGATATCTCAGCCTGTACACACTGTATACAAACTATTCATTGCTTGCTTGATTCATGGAAAAAATTCTGAAATGACAAGTTGCTGCATAAGATTTACCACGTTAGTGGGGCAGACCATTTTACCACTTAGTAGTAAAGCTCATTCCAGAGTACAAAACACTGCAACACTGTATATAGCAAACCAACAGCCCATTACCTAGGAAAATATTATTTTACATATCATTCAAAATCCTGCTTTGAATTCTCTACTTTAACTTTATGACATCTCTTTATGTTTAGGATTTATATCTGCAAAAAACAAAACCGTGTAGATATGAGAATCAGTGAACAATACTGGGTGTTTAAGTCTTAATGGTACAATAGGATTTGCTATGCTAAATGAAAACAATGCTGACAAAAAAGGACTATGTTAGTGCAGGAGATGCTTCTATGGCTTTTAGTGCAGTCTTCGGAAAAGCCCCAGGAGATTTATTTAACAACTCTGTAAAAGAGAACAAATCACACAATTTTTAATAAAATATTAGTGTAAATATATCATTAACATTATTAAAGTATAACAAAGATCTGTATGTTGAGTAGAAGAGTGCTCAATGAAGCACAGCCTATTTTGATATATAATGCTTTCTCTTCTGTTTTCAGTTGGTTTTGTCCTTCATACTCTCCTTCTTTAGAAGACATTGATAGAACAGGGTTAGTTTTCTTGTGCTCTTCAATTAATAATAGTAATTGTTTACACTTATATAGCACTTTTCTGGACACTCCACTCAAAGCACTTTACAGGTAATGGGGTCTCCCCTCCACCACCATTTTTAATGACCACAGAGAGTCAGGACCTCAGTTTTACATCTCATCCAAGGGACAGCACCTGTTTACAGTATAGTGTCCCTGTCACTATATTGGGGCATTAGGACCCATGTGGACCACAGGGTGAGCGCCCCCTGCTGGCCCCACTAACACCTCTTCCAGCAGCAACCTTAGTTTTCCCCAGGAGGTCTCCCATCCAAGTACTGACCAGGCTCACACCTGCTTAGCTTCAGTGGGTTGCCAGTTGGGAGTTGCAGGGTGATATGCTGCTGGCAGCATATTTTTTAAATTAGCCTGGTCTTTGAAGAATTTTGATTCATGTATTTTTTTTAGAAATAGAAAAAGATCTCTCGTAGTAGCCATAACAGACCGCAGGGTTTTTATGGTCATATTTATACCCTTGGTATGTTGTAATGCTACTGTGGTTTCTTGGATACTTTGCAGTACCTGAGATTTTCTTCAGCATCTGATTCTGCTGGCAAGCATCTTCTAACACACATAGAGATATCATTTTAAAACTATGTAGGATTTCACACTTTTTCATACAAGCTTGTTAAACCATTCTTGAATAAAAGTGCTTCACAGCTTACTAAAGCTTGTTACCTAACACAGAGAGAAAATTGAGATATACTGTACTTGTAGTTTTAAACCCCCTAAGCTTTTCCAGAATAAGACTTTAGAGATAAAAATCCAAATTTCATCCACTGTTACTTCAGGGAGCAACAAGTAAGAAAATTTGATCCCATTCAAAGTCATAGCACTATTACAAAACGTCTGAGTTTTCCACTTAGGCAAAGAGACAGATGGCATGTTTGGTATGGAGATACAGTAAAGTGATAGCAAGGTGTAGGTTAGATGTGACTGCTTACATGGTATTCTGTTTGTAGCGATCCAAAGCCTCCTGTGCCACCACCTCTGAGAATTTTGGGTCATTCCATGGAATGTCTCCGGGGACAGTGAAGGTCATCGGTGGGCTGTCAAACAGCTGGACAGAGACATTGGTGTCTTCAGGCTTTTCAGGATCCTCACTTGTTCTTGAAATTACCTTGAAAAGATCAGAATCCCTAGGTTATGAAGTGTTAACAATGGAACACCAGAAAAAAAGTACAAAAGTACTAAGATAAGCAGAATAAGCTCCCCCTTTAACCTTTTACCTCTCCTTTCATCATTGAACTTTCTATCTTTTCACAAGAATTGTCCATTTTTTATTATTACCTGCCCAATTATGAGAATCGCCATGTAGTTACATGGGGGAGAATGAGGAAAAATAGAAAGGCATTTCTGAGTTGTTAATCTTTTTAAGTTGTGTCCCCGATGGAGGTCACTGTAAGCCTGTAATAAGAGCCTCATGGGTCACTGTGTGAGACATATTGGGATGAACACGCTCAGTGTTTTGTGTGTGGTAATTTGTTTGGTGTGAGTGAAGTTTTATTTAATCTCTGACCCAGGGAAAAGTGTGGTGTGGCCAGTTGAGGAGCGAATGCAGGCTCGCACTGTGTCAGTTATTATTTTTCTTCTTCTTTGTTGGTCTGCTAGTTTTTTTTATCAATAAAGTTTGATAATCAGCCAGTGAAAGCTCTGTTTCCCTTCACATGAATGCATAAAACCCTAAACTAAACCCAGGATTTTAAAACTGTATCACTGAGACCCGAGAGAACAATGGTTAAAATATCTCATCCCTACTCTGTGTTTTCAGCAGTGAATCACGAACCAGAGTGATCAAGTGGAAACTATGTGGAAATGCATTTAAAAACTGAAAACAGAAGGCACTTTTTTACCCAATGGATCGTGGAATTAAGGAGCCAGCTGCCCAGCCACATTTCTGAAGCAGATCCACAGGTCTCTTTCAAGAAATGACTGGATGAGATCCCTGGATCAATTAACTACTAACAACCCAATGGGCTACGTGGGCTGAGTGGCCTCCTCTTGTTTGTAATGTTTCTTATGATCTTATGTTTCTCACATTATACTGTATGGTAGGCTAAAGTAACCTTAATCTGAATTGTCAATCAAATGCAAGTCTGGTTTCTTGCTAATTCTTTGTGCTCTGCTTCCGACTTGCCCTGTTATAAATTAAACATTTAACTTTTGAAAAGAATGCTGGGAAGTCCTGGGCAAGGTCAGCTAGTGACATTGCTCAGGCTCATGTCATCCACTTGTTTTGTTTTTTTAATTACAAATTAATTTGTCACTATTGTTCAGTAGGGAGTGACGGAACCATGAGCATTGGGCAGTATTATAAGGATTGTTGTGTCTCAGAGAGAATGCAGGGAGATTCACTAGGACATAGCTCACTGTTTTGATCTGGAACATCCCATCCTTCTGGGTCTGGTTGGCCAGTGCGGACACCCATCCAAACTGCCTGTTGACCATGTCCAGCAGGCTGGAGGTGTTGAACATTTCCTCCTCAAATTTCCTCAGAAGTCGGTTGTACTCCTGGGTGAATTTCTCGGCCATGGCCAGGGCTCTCTCCAGTTCCTCTTTCAGGGGCCCGTCCAAAGGCTTCTTGCCAGAGCAGTCTGAAAGAAGAAACAGGATGCTACTGCTTACAGCTGGGGTCTCAGGACAGCGAGTTAAGCTATACCAGTCTCTAGACTGTCTCATGACCTCTGGCCCTGACGTCAATCTTTCCTCTTCCTATCCTTTAAAAACAGGTGGGAGCTCTGTATTTTCTCTCTTTTGCCTCATGTCCATCTAATGGATGCTCTAATTCTTCTCTCTCAGTATCTCCCTGCAGTGACTAGAGCCCACCTCTGTAAATAACACTGCAGCAGACCTGTGTGTGAGCCTGAATTCACTTTCTCCAGCCTGTCTTTTCCATACTCCATGCACTTAGTAACACCGGAGCTCGTCACAGTATTATTCCTCAGTCCGCCATTCATTTTAACTTGTTTCTCACCTCTCTGTATATGGCATAAAGTTAACTGAATAACAATGTATATGTTAATAAACGTATGATTACCATACAGCTACACATGTGGGGTTTCTGAACCTAACAGACTGCCTAACTGGGAACAAAACATACAGTAGAGGGAAACTGTACCTTACCTCATCAACCACATACAGTACAGTAGAGTATGTTCATTAATTACTCATTATGTCTGCCTACCCCCCGCTTTGATCACCAGAACACTCCTGTCACTCATTTCAGTCCATTATCAGGCCAGGAAGGGGGTGTCCATATATGAAGACATTTCTTTTTCCCAAAAAGGGTTTTGTACTGGTCTTGAAAATTCTCTTCAAGACCAACCCAAGCATATTTCTTTAGCTTGCAAGTATAAAATGTTCCATACCAATATGCTGGATCTCTTTGCATTTTTCACATTCCTCTCGTAGTTTCAGGCAGCCTGCAGAATTGCGCCGGATCTCTCTGCACGTCATTTGGTCTCTTCCGTAAGGTCGTGTCCTAATAACATCTTCATTAATGCTCCCGTCTAAATATTTCAACAGAGGAAAAACTCAAAGTGGTTACACTCCTCCTGAAATATATTTTGAGGGACATGGGTGTTTAAACATGAAGCGTTGTTCTTCATCTGACAGAAATCTATTTTGTCAATCAATACTTTAATTTGTTTTTATCTTGTGTGTTACAGTGGGAAATAAAAAATATAGAAGGAATATATGTAGGAAAGACCTCTATCGATATAATTTTTATCTCACATCTGGCTATACCCTCAATGTGAAATGGGCAATTCTGACTTGCAAAATTATTTTCACAACCTTAATCTCCAGTAATTTCCCAATGGCCGAAGAGATATGTACCATTTGAAGGAGAGGGGGATGTTCCAAAGTTGTCTTCCATATGTGGATCAAAAGAGTCAAAAATGTTCCGGGCCATGTCAAACATTGGCTGGAACATGCTGTGAAAGCTGGGAAAACCACTGCTGTAGTAGGGGGACCTGTAGACACGTGACCTCTGTTGATTCTGGCTGTCTCCATAGGCGAAGGGTGAGTAAAACAAGGGCCTCATGAACGGGTGGTGAAAGGAGTGCATGTGGTCGAACACCTTCATGCTGTCCAGGAAGATGCTGTCCACACCATCGGACACCTCAGTGTAGCGCCCCTCCAGGTCCTCAAACCGCTTGCTCTGCTCCTTGTCCTCTTCCAGGAGAGAGTCAATATTTTCCCCATTAATCCATATGGATATTGGCGAGGTCCTGTTTAGAATTTCTTCCAGCTAAGGGAAAAAAAAACACATGTTGTGAGTCCACAGATATGATAAATAGGCTGAGTAAATGACATTGACCAGAGCTAGCCTGATTTGTCTGGCCGCTGTATCTGCTAAAAGTAGAATATGTTTGAACAGCCAATTAGCCTTTGTGGGTACGTGATGAAAAGGTTCAGTAAGTGTAGATTGTACCACATAAGTTATTAAAACTAGTTCTCTTCAATAAGGAAACACCTGAAGAAGGCTCCAAAGCCAAAACGTTGTGTTTCTTTTCTTCTCTTTTCACCATGGAATAAACCTTTACTTGTTCCTTTGCAGCCTACACATGCTGACGCAGCTACTAACTTGGAACTACAATATTATTGTGGTTTATTTTGTCTCTCCAGCTCCTGTTATCATTATCTCACCATCTGCACTACGTGGTTGACTTTGAAGTGACTGTCTAAACTTACTAATAAATTAACACATTAATATATTATTCATTATAAATTTAAGGTATATTCAGAAACATTTAAATAAGGCTATGCCAAAAATATTTTCAAAACAACCTGAAATTTAACAATTATGCAGTTGAAATCTGTATTAAATGAATACACAGCTGACCTGTCTTCCCACCATGCCTGACCCACTGCTGCAAGTCCGGGAGTAGTATTTTATGCAGGTGTTTTTCAAGCAAGGTTTGCACTCCTCCCACAAGGCCTGCATGGACTCATTGCAGAGTGTCTGTTCATCGTTCAGTTTAGACTCAACTTCCTTGGCTGTGTTCAAAGCATCCTGGACAGAAAAACAGAGCAGATAAAGTATTGCTTTTGAAGTGTGGTTTTGTGGTGCACAGAGACAAAACAAAAAAAAAAGAGACTTGACACAGCATGCATTTTGCCCTTATTCTCCTGTAAACAGATTTGTGTAACATACTTCTTAATTCACTCAAATCTCATCAATACTTCTTCAAGTATTTAGAACGTAATGCATTGGTAGACATTTTATTTGCACTTTATTTCTGAATGGACAGAAATTGTAGAGTAAACCTCAAAACCATGATTATATATTCTACATGTTAAGCTCTCCATGTATAAAAGATCAGATATAGACTATACCTGTGTCTATCACCTCCATACTTAATAACCATCTTGTAATTATCCACCTGGGAGTGAAGTTTGATCTGTGATCTTAACAGTTAATTTTATTTCCTGTACAAATGTCTGGCTGAACTGATAGACAAGAAAATGCTTGAAATGTAATTATCAAATTACATTCTAACGTGTGCAGTACATGTACGGTGTTCAAGGGAACATTTCCGCAGGTCTTTCCTCCCGGCGGCTGTCAGGGTGTATAACGCTGCCCTAGGCTAGGACTGTTAGCCCTTCATTTGCTCGTCTATGGACAGCATGTTTGCTCCATTGTAATTTTTGGACAATCAGTCTGTATAAACCTATGCACATTTTGCACATATTTTATTGTTTTTACAGTGACAATGATCATCACATTTTGCACACACCTATGTATTTATTTTTTATTTATTTTTATTTATTTAGTTGTCTTTTGTTTTATAACTATTATAATGTCTGTTTTTGCTTGTCTTGGGCTGGACTGCTGTAACACATAGATTTCCCTAAGGGACTAATAAAGTATTATCTATCTACAGTAGGTAATAGCCCTTGAGGATGAAAAATATAGTATGTTGTAATTTCTTCTTTAATAAAAGCTATTCATGAGGCCTATTTCTACCTCTTTCTGCTTCTTGGTTTCCTCTAAGCTCTTCAGAAACTTATTGTGGTCTTCTCCAGACTTCTCCATCAGAGTCTTCATCTCCTTGACCCCATTGATGGCATTTTCAATCTGCTGGTCCAAATACTTCTCTCCCAGAAGTGACATTTCTACAAAGCAAAATGAATTCACTGGAGCTAAGAATCAGCACAAGGGAACATTACAAAAAGCACCTGCCAGCTGGAGGTATGGTTCATATGTTCATAAGAAAATGGGATACATTGAAAATAAAAATAAAATAAAAATAAAAATTTAGTATAACTAAACTAACAGTTCTGACTCAGAGTTCCTGAGACAGATTCAGAACACCCGCTGAATGGGGCAAAGTATTCTTGCTAATAGCCGACATAGTGTAGAGGCCAAAGATTGATAGCCAATGGTTTTGCAAACTGAATACAAAATGCAACAGACAAATACTGTATACTATAATGACACATAAAAAAACAAACTCTCATAGACAGCAATTTGTGAAGAAAATATTGCAGATGGCAAACTTTGTAGAAATGTTACAATTGGTTTTCATTAGTCATTCATATCTGTCACACTTTATAGGTTCTCTAGACCTATTTAAAATAAAATACATTTGCTATGATTTTTTAAAATTGAATCATAAAGGGAGAATGAAAAACACTATACCTTTATTTCATCCAGTATGTCTTGGAATTATGGATGTATACATTAGTGGAATTATGATTGATTAGATGTTAGAATTGTATGATTTTTCAAAATTGTATGAAAGCTTGCTTGCCCTCTATAAAAGAGTGGAATTTCCGAACACAAAGTAATCCTAATATGTTTGAACGTGTGTGTGGAATCACCCCAAAATATATTATATTAGCCTCATCATTTATATTAATCCCATTATCACAAATACAAATTATTTGATTGTAAAACAGTTTTGAACTGTTTACTCTTTATGAACATGACATCTTAAGGTCATATTAAGGCTCCAGTCCTCTGCACTTACGTGAAAGCTCGTCTTTTGAAGGAGGCAGCAGGCCCTCAGCAGACCAATACAGCAGGCACATGACCAGGAATGACCAGGACAGCGTCATCCTGCGATCTTTGAAAGAACCTGTGCAGTTCAGTGAATGCTCCTGTAAGAATATATGGGAGAAAGAAAGACACGAGTGACTCATTTTGTAGTGAAATTCATAGAAGTGGATTGATTGTCTTTTGGCTCAGAGAAACTTTGCAGTTTACCTTGCAAAGTAATCAACACATTCTCAATTTGCTGACACATTTCTGTGCCTATATACAGTACCATTTAAATCAAATTAGTTAGATAAACAGTGGGGATGGGGTTCTTCATTTGTTTTGCTCAAAGATTGGTATCAGACTCATTTCACTATCAGGTGTTTTCTAGAATTTCTATAGTTTTTTATCCATCCGTCAGTCATCATAAAACCACTTACCCTTGTTGAGGGTTGTGGCAAATCCTATCCACCTGCACTGGACCACAGAAAAATAAACAAGTAGACTAGCAATTTACATCTAGCCCGCATGTCTTTGGGAAACCCATGCCAATGCAATGAACACATGAATACTCCACCCAGACAGATGCCCAAGACTGGAATCAATCACAGGACACTGGAACTGTAAGACAGCAATGCTAACAGCCATGCCAGCATACCACTCACATTATCTTTTTATTGAATGTTAGTTCATGTTTTAGTTTGATTAATTGTACAGCACACCCTAATTTATGACACTAAAAATAAACAATTGCTAGACTTGGCCTTTTTAACAATGGTGACGTCTTGTCTGCCTCAGCACTGGGCAGACACATCCTCACAAACTGGCATCTGTTCAAAAGCCGAAAGCACAGATGCACCTCTCCAGAGCGCGCTTGCAATGTGTTTGTGTTGTGAGAGTTTTCTCCCCTGTCTAGGGTTCCATCAGTGGGTCCCCAACATGTCAATGACCTCCATCGGCTAACAACAGAACCAGAAGAAACAGTGCTTCTGTCAGAAAACATCATTGTAATAACTGCTTGAAGTTTATGGCACTTTCTATCCCAAAGGACCCCAAAGCTCTTTAGACAGAGTGGCCCACTTCATCCACCACTGAAGTGCAGCACTATGCAGAATCCTAGCAGTTCAGATAGAGATGTGAGAAATAACTGTAGCAATTGAATTCAGGAAGATACCTTAGGGTGGTCAGACTGCAGAAGAACAAGGCAGAATTGAGCCAGGTCTCCAAGAGCTCCAGTCAGTCAGGTTAATGTTTCATCTGAAGGATGACACTGTTTACAATCACAAACAACATGTCTTGTCTTTGTGCTGGGATATTGATGTAGACATTCTGGTCCTGAGAAGAGAGTGCTAGCAACTGGCCCTGTTTGAAACAACCACCTGTCTTTCCTAGAGATCGATCCAGTATCCCAGTACTGACCAGAATCAACATCGCAACATTCGCTTCTGAGATCTGACAAGACAGTCTACCAGTCTACAAGTCTAAGGATCACTGAATGATATACATTTCATTATTCATACACAATTAGCCAATAAACCAAAGAGATTGTACAGTCATATCACCCTGCAGCTCTCAACTGGAAACGCACTGAAGCTAAGCAGGGTTGAGCCTGGATGGGAGACATCCTGGGAAACTATGGTTGCTGCTGGAAGTGGTTTTAATGGGACCAGCAGGGGGTGCCCACCCTGCAGTCTGTGTGGGTCCTTATGTGGTTTAATGGTGGGGACACTTTACTATACTGTTGTCCCCATGTATGATTGGCTTGAACTTGCCATGTGATGGACTGGTGCCCCAACCAGGGTGTACCCTGCCTTGTGCTCGTTGCTTGCCGGGTAGACCCTGGCTTCCTGCGACACCATATGGTATAAAGCGGTTTGGCAAAGGACATGACATGACCAAAGAGATTGCAGAAAGAACACACTCCTTGATATCAACCTTAACAGTTTTATGTCAAACAGAAAAAGCTAGCACCATTCAGCATCTCAATTAACATAGCCAGACACATTTTCAACAAACAAAAAAGAATACTTCCTGTTGTTTAGTTAACTTGAACAAATATGTCTGTTTAATTTGACTAATTTGGCACTTGATAAATCACTTACTTCCTGATGTAAATTTAATACAATAACCACAGGATAACCTTAGGTTTAAATGCTGAAATAGTTTGTATGGCTACAAAACTTCACAAAAAGAATAGCAGCACCAAATAGGAATGTTTATTAAGAGGTTATCTCCATTGTCTTCTACGGTACCATAAGCTGCTAACTCAGAGAAATAATTTCCTCTCAGAGTGTGCTATCAGAAATGCCTTTGTAATTGTAGCTAATTTTACCATGCAGTGGTCTGATAAGGAGGCAGTATAATCATAATGTCTTCGAAGCTGAAGCCAGTGGTGATGACTTTGGGCTTTTCTAGACACGTAATATGATGACATTCTTCCACTGGAATGTAATGTTGTTATACTGTCCCAGACCAAAACTTACAGCATCACAGAGGCTAAATACTAAATTATTTTAAAAAGAATGTAAATTATTTTTAAAAATATGAGAAAGATTGTAAGAGAGTTTAATTTAACTTGTAATAGATGCATGCATCTTGTTTCTGTATACTGTAGCACATTGCTCTAAAGTGTTAATTTTAAAAACAAACCCACAATTTAATGAAAACATGAAACATGGAAAAGAAGCTATCACTTTTAGAAGCTTGCTAATTTGCTTTTATTGGCTCTAGTGTTCAATTTTAGGGCAGCTGCTTTTCTGTTTAAATCCCAGGGTTTCAATTTCCAGGGATAAAATTGTTTGACTAATTTAATTTCCTTTTATTGTTTTTATTCCTTGAATCATAATTCAAGAAAGGTTCAATTTAAGGTATATTTTAGGGTAGCAGTTTCAAAATGATCTACTCATTAAAAAGCTACTTGTTAGTAGAAAAAGAAGTTTAAATGTGGATTTTACAGTTCTTATCTTATTGCGGTGTAGGATTTAACTGCCATCCACACCCTCTCATTTGTTTCGAAGCTGATGCTCAACGTAATCCTACGTGCTGAAGTAATAGCTAACCTGACATCAAGTCAGAGATTACAGACTGCTGTTATGGTAAATGAGACAGAAGGAGACAGTGCGGAAGGACTTTTATTTGATGATAAAGAATGCAAGCTTAATCTTCTGCTTAACATTTAGCGTTTACAGTTTTGCAATCCCCTTGCTAAAAAATCCAAAACTGATTTATGCCGGATATGAACATATCACTATGTCATTAAATTCTGTTTGTGCACACAACTGAATGCCTGGTGGCAATAATATGTGCGGTTTGTGTCTGTTGTTATGAGCTGCTGATGCAAGCCTGGTGCTTTAACTGTTAATAGAGGCGCTCAGAAATCAAGAAGTTTCTGCCAAACGAAGGCAGTGAGCTTTGTTATATAACGAGCTATGTTTGCTGAATTCATTATATAAAAACAAGCCCAGCTGGTGGCTCACAAACCACACGAGTCTTTAAACACTAAAGCATGACTCTGTTTGTGATTTCCTGTTAGGATACCCAGCTTATATCATTGAAATAGTTGCTGCAAATAAAATTATTATAACCACAAAAAGTTCCATTACTGAAAAGTAGGACAATCAAATGAAAGGAACACATTGGGACTGTTGTGAAAAGAATGAAGGCTATCAACAGAAGTGCCAGACCAGATAATGCTTTGAATTCTTAAGTCTTTTGTTTGTGTTAAATAGTCTAGAAATACTGTGGCTGCAGCAACGAAAGTACAGTACATGCATGATTAATTTAAAATTGAAAAGTGGTGCTGTGTTAACAAATTGAAAAATATTAAATATCAGCATGAGTTTCATTTCAAATTAATTTTATTTTCATTTCATATTATGAAAACAGACAGACATTCTATATTCCTCCCAGTTAATTAATGGTTTCTCCAAGTTTTCATCACAGATGCATGGGTGTCAATTAAAAACTAAACAAATCGCCTTTTTGTAGTGTTGTTTTCATTGTGAGAATCTTAAACTAACATGGCAAAAATGGTCAGTTTCAAATATGTTCAGGTGACGGAAGAGTGGTCTGTCCACTGCAGTCTCAAAATGAAATCTATATATCTGTCCATGCAGAACAATTAACAACAAATTAACTTTAACTTCATAGCTGGGCTGGGAATACAAACCCCAGAAAACAAAAACAACAACAACAACAACAACAACAACAATTTAAATGGTTCAATATTGTAATGGCTTTGATGCAGAGCAAAGCAAGAGATTAGTCCAGTGAAACAAGGACCATTGATTACTTTAATCATCATGAGATTTCATTTTTAAATTCTTCATGTGCAGGGACTTACACTACATGTGAAGAGTACTGGAGTGCAAATTATTATTGAACAAATTTGAAAGAAATCTTTCTGTATTCCAGTGTTCAGCCAAGCCCTGCACTTGTGAAATATGAATCAACCCATTCAGTAGCACAAAATGTGTGAAAAATGATTCAGCTTACATTATACACATTTTCTAATGAATTGCAGGCAATTAAACTATTTTGCAGCAATGCAGATGCAGCAGACGCAAGCACTGTGGTGAACTAGCAAAATCAACACCTATACAGTATGTTATATATATATAACCTACAAAGAAAAACAGTGCTCAATTTTTAAAAACATAATCAAATACATTGTTATCCTCAAGATAGAATTCGAAAGACAATGGTACTTTTTAATACAAATAAACTGTATTAAGAGTTAAAAGACACAGCAATACTCATCATTAGAATCATCTTATAGAGAAATATACAGTATTCATTGAGATGACAACCTGGAGAATATCAGTGTTCAAAAATGAATTTCCTACAAGATAAACAGTATTATTGCAGATGCAGTTTACTCACCTCCCTATTGGTCTGTCTCCTCAGTGGATGCAGCTGAGAATGACTGTGTTATTGTAGGTATTTATACCTTGCAGTGATGTTGACAGTATGATTCACTCGCAGAGAATGCCCTGTGGTTTCAGACTTTTCTAGAAGTTGTGTAATTTTCTAATATGGCTTACAGCAGAGCCCACATTTGACCAGCAGTCGGCAATGTTGCTCTACCAACCAGTAAAATCCTTCAGTTTATGTTTCCAGGATCACACATAAAAAAAATAAGGAATTAAAATTTTCATGGATTTTGCAGCATCCTCCAAACATTCAATAAATCCAGCAGATGAAAATAATGCACGGTCACAAGAAACAATAAATACCACTGGGATTGGATAATTTAACATATAGCCAGTGAACTCAGCTTTATTTTGGAGAAATGGTATAAATAATAAAGGCAAAGGCAGTCTGAGACTAAACTTCCCAATGCTTATGTACGTACATAACAAAATAGCAACTGTAACACCTGAACAGACCAGATAAAATCAATGTTTTGTGCAGTTATTTAAACTTATACAATATCTTCATACTTCAGGGTCTTTGTGTTGCCACGTCTGAAAAGGACAGTAAGATCCAGATGGCTTCTGTTTCTGTTTTATTGTTTTTCCTCTGACACAAGGTCATTGTGTAATGTTTTTAATTCAGAAATGACTCAATGCGGAGGGAAATAAGGCCAATGAGCAAGCATTTTCATCACATAAAAATAGCTGGTTTCTCCCTTTAGAGTCTGGGCTGCATCTTTTGCTGCTTTTGTGTGCATATCACCCTCGCCTGTGCAGGATGCCAAAAATACTGTAAAGATCAGGGGTGTGTCTCAGGAAGCCCAGAAGGTTACCTCCACTCCGCAGCTAATCCTTTCTTCATTTCAATCATATTCTTTGACAAACATACCATTAAAACTGATTAACAAATGCTGCTAAACACTTGTGTTTTTGTTATTGTTGACGGGGGGCATGTGACATCTGCGCCGTATCGTGCAAGCAGGGCTGTCTTCCCTGCAGACACGTACTGTAGCCAATGCAGTGAGGATGGGCTGCAGACAGCTGCTGCCTCAGAGCTTGGCAGAGCCTCACTCCGCAGTGTGGAAGTACTTGTCCGACAAGGTCAGAGAGAGAGAGACAGAGAGTACAGTATCTTCCTCGAAAGATACAGCTAGCAGGCTGACAATGGCCGGTCACCAAAATCTGTTATTTAAACAGTACAGTTAGCAGGCTAAATTGTGATCAGACAATGACAGCCCCAAAGAAAGTGTCTTGGTGTCGGACAAATACAGTGAACAGATACAGTATGACAGAAGTAATGTCTTTTCAAAATTTAAAGTCATTTTCCCTTAGCTACCTTTCTATCACTGTCTTATTTTCCTGAACTCATAAATTCTATACTTTGAATCCCTTCAGCTGGGCATTTATTCAAGGCTGTAATTGAAGGCCAAATTCCACTTGTGCATGTGTGAAAACAAGCCTGCACAACCTTCTCACAAGGCATCATTAGAAATATCTTGCATGTGCAGTTAAGTAATTAATGGTGTTATAGTATTATCGTTCTCAGAGGAATATGTTTGAATTATGCATAGCCATTAACACCATTTATATATTTGCTTGGTTTTTTCTGTACTGTAGCCCCCCCTAAAATGCCTTAAGCACTATTTTTTATTTAAACTTTCTGTTTAAACCCTCATTAAAATTCACCACCTGCATGCTGTGGGCTACGGCACCACCAGAGAAGACAGCTTTTTGCTGCAAGAAGTTTCACAGTTGATACCCAAGCCCACAGGTCGACTCGGAAGGCCTTTATTAACAGATACAAGAAGTCAAACGCTGGGTCTAAGAATTCATAACTGTTTTACATGTTCCTCCGGTTTGTGTTTTTAAAAGAATACATTTTAGTATAGGTTCCCTAATAATATTGTCTATTTTGTATTGATTATCTCCTTTATAACAGGATTTTCTATTTTGTCTTCAGCAACGGCTATTAAATCTTGAGGTTGTGCCTTTTTCTGCTTATGATATAAGATAAAACTTCTCAAAATGTCATTGTAGGTCCATTAAAATTAAAAAAAATAGACATACAGGAGGAAATGTGTGTTAAAAATAAAATAGAACATTTTCTTCTATAATACAGTTTCTTTAGCAATTAAGAGATAACCTGGACTCTGGTTTCCCCAACACTTGTATTCAGCTTGATTTATGTTTAGAATCAGAAAATATGTACTGACATTCTTTGCCCTGATTTATTTACTGAGGTGGAATAATTGTTCTCCTGCTGTTCAACTCACTGAGCAAATTTGAGAATGAATCTGCTGGAAAGGTATTCACCAACTTTGAGTTATTCTGACAGGGGAGAGGTTTGATCAAGGCTCATGTTCCTTCACCTTTTACAACCACAACACATTTTCACCTGTTTTCTCTCAGAAGAAACGAGTGCAAATGATTTGTAAATGGTCAAATACATCAATCTAGATTAGGTGCTAATTCAAGATGCCGTGCCTGACTGGCAACACTTAATCGGTTAAACCAATAAAGCTCTTTGAACTTAATGCTCAGCCTGATAGTGTGGTTTGCCCATTGCTTCTGTTCATTGTTGACATTGACATTTTTGGTGTGCATACTGTTCATATATTATTTGAGATTTGTACTCTTTCATAATAAATTAATATAAATTAAATATATCCTTACTATAACTAAAGAATAATATTTGTATTTAAACGTACAAGTGCCATAGGTACTACAGAAGTAAATACTTGTTGTTACAAAAGAAGAAGCAGTGTGGCATTACATCCATGAGAGGGAGTAATTCCTTCTGCATTACAGAGGAGAGCAGCAAAATTATTGCAAAAACAAGAAACTCTCCCTGCAATCATGAGATACATGCTACTCAAATTTCTCACTCACTACCAGCCCCCTACTCAACATACAGTAATTTAGCTGCAAAGGATGAGCTGGGGTGGAACAGAGATAAATACAACTAAAATGTGAGATGAGGTGTGTACAAATTTCTATGTAAGCAAAAGTCAGTAATGGTTTATTCCATGCTCAAAGGAAAAGAAACTTCACAAGTGTAGAAGGCTCCACAGCAGAAACATTATGTCTCTTTTCATTTCTTTTCAGCATGGAATAAAGCTTTACCTAATCCTTTGTAGCCTACGCATGCTGATGCCCATTTAATTGAACTATGCTTACTTTTCAAAATTTGCAGGTTGCCATCATATGGCAAATATTGGCACCCCCTGAGTTCACAGACCTGTAGGAGGTGCTGTCTTTCTGATGAGATGTTAACCTCAAACCTGACACTGATATGGCTGTCTCTATTCTATCTAATTGCATCTCTGACATAAAAATTTGGATGACTCAAAACTTCCTTCATCTTAACTGTGACAAGACTG